GTTCTATGTCTAATAATTTATTTAAATCAGCAAGTGATTCTTCATATCAATTCATCCTACGATAGGTATCTCCTCGACCGCGTAATGCAAATGCATCATCCGGTTCAATTTCCAACGATTTATTTAAATCAGCAAGTGATTCTTTAAGTTTTGACATTTTATAATAAGTAACTCCACGATTTTTCAGCGCAAACGCATTATTTGGTTCAATATCTAATGATTTAGTCAAGTCTACAAGTGACTCTTTATATTTGCCCATAATACGATAAGTTTCACCACTTTTTCTTAATTCTAATGCTTTATTTGATTCAATTTCTGGTGCGTAATTAGTAGCATTAGAAATATTATCACGTAAGGGTAATGTTGTAGATAAATGATTGCTACCAATAGTTTCTAAAACGTTATACAAACTTGAGCGCCAAGGGAAAGAAACTTAAGAACGTGTTATTGTCTAAACATGATCAGTAAACACACTTAATGAAAACACCAGCACCGGCCAATTTTGCATGATTTGCCTCTGTCGATCTTCTATTTCTTCTTCACTATTTACCGTAATAAATATAACTTTAATTCAAATTAATAGTAAATTGACAATTATAATTTCTTGCTTACTAACCGTTTGATTATTTCCAAGAGCGAATCTAAATTGCACTTTTCTTTTAGCTTTTCATATCGTTTGTTTTCGTCCTATAATTAATCAATTAGAAAACAAATAAAGTGGTACTTTATTGCATCAATTAACCTCATTTTTTTCTGTGCTCCCTCCTGTATCAGTTCGTTGTTCGATTCTTGTTTATTAGTTGCTGATGCAGGAACGAAGGCTTGTGGCTTATATAATTTTGGTGGAGTAGTCGAAGCATAAGACATTACATAGCAAGTAGTAAATTGTTCTAGGAAAATGAACTCACACTTAGGTACAATAATCTCACATTTAACAAGGGTTCTTCCAACTCTTCCGTCTTTTTCAAATGAAGCTACAAATTCAGCATAAACTTTTACAGCTTCAGATTCTTGCTATTTAAAAAAAAAATAAATAAAAATTAAAAAATTAAAATTAATAAAAGGAAAGAAAAAAAAAATAGTAATCTTAACGATTTATACCTTTTAGTACCAATGCTAAATACCTGTAATGTTTATAATAAATTAATAATAGTTGTACTATATAAACTTTAAAACACCACATTGTTTTTTAAATAAAATTAACCTACCATTATTGGATAAATACATGCTTATTTTAATAGAGCCACACTCGCCATGTTAAACCGGTTGTTCAAGAGTTATTTCAGCATAATACATTAATTTATAGTAGTTGATTAAGAACAGTATACTCTTTCATCAAGACCATTATATTTAAAAGTATTGCAGACTGTCAGATTACTTTGATTAAAATTTCTGATTGTGACCTTCGATAAATTTTGCATATAGAGTAAGTAATATAATTATGCATTCAATGTTAAACTAATTGTTCGATAGTTTAGTATAATACATCAATCTATAGGATTTGATCGAATACCTGATTGTGATCTTTGAGAACTTTCGCCTAACACATTAATAATTGTGATAAGAACATACGTTATCTTATTTCTAAATTAATATAATACAGCATGTCAAATATTTAAGATAAATAAATTTAGGATCAATACTTTCGCTTTATATTTGAATTCCAAGATTAATTTGAATGGCTTTCAGTGGGTATATTGGATATATTGGTCTAACACGTATTTTCTAAACTCTCAATCAACGCTGTTTCTTGTAACCTCCAATGAGCTGTTTATTAAAATTATGAATTAAAAAACAAATACATATGAAAATATCAAATCTGCAAACTGAAAATGATAATTTCTTACGTGAGCCCGTAAGTACATTTAAATATGGGAATTTGGAACGGCGTAGATTCATACCTAAAAAAAAAGAGTTCTGTTCACACTCGATTAGTCATATGTACAGTACTAACCTAATTTAGTTTGTGATACGTATGTACTGTACCTACCGGTATGTACGTTGTGAAAGGCCAGGGTTGTCGCCCGAATCGTTTTTCTTTCTTTTCTTTTTATTTATTTATTTATGTTATTTTATTTTATTTTCTTTTGCTTTTAGTTTATCATTATTATTCGTTTCTTTGTCAGCACCTTTGTAGTAAGACTCAGTATAAATTATATTAGCCGTTAGTATAATAATAGTCGTAGAAATCCAAAATTGGTAAGAAAGATAATCCTTACTATAATAGTAAAAATCCAATTTCGTGAATTTCGTGAATTTCGTGAATTTCATGAATTTCGTGAATTTTGTGAAGTTCGTGCTTTTCGTGGATTTCGCGCTTTTCGAATCTTCCATAGAATTATAGCTTAGTTAGATAATTTATATTGGAAAAAGTAGCAATGTAAAAACTATAAAAGGGATGCTTATTTACCTGAAAATAAAGGGAACGAAGTGAGTTCAAAAAAACATATCCTAAGAATAAAAATAACCCTTGAGTTCCATAACCTTCGAAATTAGAGTAGAAGTGTTTGTGTAAAAACCGTTGTACCCTTTCGGTTACAAATCGTTCGTCGATTTCGTATTTTTCTTGTCCCTGTGACTTTCGTACACATTGTATTAGTAATCCAACCCTTATATATTAAAATCCACCCTGATTAAGTTTGTGATCAATGACATAATACCTGAATCGTGAACTTGTGATACCGTGACCTTGACCATATCCCGATTGGCTAAATTCGATCACGTGACTCGCCGTAGCACCTTCGAAGAAAAGAAAGTTTAATTACTACAAAGTGTCAAAGGAAGTAAGGTACTGAATAAAGAGATAGGAGAATACTTATCTGAGCCCCACACTATTCCTGCTTAATCAAATAACCTTGGTTACTCGGACCAAGTCTCTCCACGCCTCGATCGTTGCCTTACCAATACTAGGGATTGGTTATAGTAGTTATAGTGTTTTGGATAGATTATCGTAATTAGTAGTGGTATTTTTGAGTAGTGAGTTATTATATATCGACCAGTATATCTTCAACGTACATCGCTTCGTATATCTAGCGTAAAACCTTTTAACTTATTAAATTCAAGGTTAGATATAGTGACTTGTCATATATTACCTTTTCGATAATAATTACAGATGCCATATTGACATGTTATAGAGAAAATTGCTAAAATCAATAATTTCGCTTAAAATTGCCTTGGTTAAAAATTCTTTTCGTGTGAAATATAATATTGCAGTGTTCAAGTTGTGTAAAATAGCAGGTGATAATTCTATTGTTTTGTGTAAAATATATACATAGTTTCCATTTTAATACAAATTCTAGAATTCTTTAGATAGCTGTAAAAAAAAACTCATTTCGAATATATTCACGATTCATAAAGTCATGCCGCTGTGGAGAACATCTTGATTGACAATTATGAATGAATAGGACATCCGGTGACCTTGATACGATGGAAATTGGATGAATTCGATTCCAGGAATTATTACAAGTACTTTGGAGTTGATAAAGAGAACAGCCTAATAAGTCGTCAAGTTTTCTGAGGTATTTCATCCATTCTAAGTAAACAAACACGTAAGCTTGATCATCATTCCATATATGTTCAATTATCCCTTTAGCCATTCCAAATGCAGCCTGCCCAACATCAAACAGAGTAGTTTCAACAACCTCACCGACACGAAATTTTACGTATTGATAGTCACCATTAGAATCAATTACAGAATATGAAACGCTCTGATAATATCGAAATTTTGTCTTTAATAATGATTGTTCCATAGAAAAGTAAGAAGAATATGCATGCATAATACTTTCTAAAAGTCCATTATTTTCGAGGTCAGTGGAAATAAATCCAGCATTTTCTATTTTATACTTATCCCATCTTACACCAAATTTTATTTCGGAGCAATTGAAGTGTGAAAAGCTATGAGTATCAGTGAAATTATCTAATTAAATTTAAGAAATTGGTTAGAAATAGATATACCATACAAGCGCGAAATAACGCCTAGGGCGTTATTTCGCTCTTATATGTAAATGGAAAATAGTATATTATATTACTGTACCTTGTTCATATTCTTTTGATAAGTGCATTGAAAAATTATCATCAATACACCAACCAGACAGTAAGTGACGTAATTGTGGTTCGACAATTAATTCTTTAAATGTTAATTGTTGTGACATGTTGCTTATACGGTCATCTATTCCCCCATCCGCTAAATATCTCAGTGTTTGTAATGTATTAACTTGCCGTAGTAGTGTAAGTTCAAGATTGTGTTTGTTCGTATGTGGTACAATTGACTTAAAAATTCTATGTATCATTTCTTTTATTCCAACTGCTGTGTTAATACATGTTGCATACTGACGTGCATGGTCTACCAGGTGCCGATTTACATGAAGATTCGGGAGATTCTGAAAGCTATCGGGAAATAACTTAAAACAAATTGTATTGTTATTATAATTAGAATTAAATAAATAAATTAACAAATAAATAAAATAATGAATGAATAAATAAATCAATAAACGAATAAATAAAGTTACCTCTATTAATGCATTAAGTTCTTTATTCAACATTTTTTGAAGTTTAGAATACCCATCTAACCTATTAATAGATAATGAAAAAACGTGTTTGCTAACTTTTGCCGAAAGTCCCCAAACTCGAATCAAATGATTTATAACATCATTTTGCTGAGGAAGTTTTAATCGAACCATTGTTTTATTTATAAAATTAGACTTAATGTCTTTAATTGATAAAAAGCGTTTTAGTATAAAAGGAAATATCATTAGAATGCGTAAAATATCAGACATCATAAATGAACGCCTGTGTGAAATTAAATTTGGTAAACGTGCCCATCTGACTGGAACCTCAAAATATTTCCAATATTTAATCAAGTTACTTTCTCCTTGTGTTGTTAAGATAAGGCAAGTACAATCGAGAAGTCGTGCTGCTTTGCCTGCAATAACATGGTATGCATCCTGCGGTATATATTGATGACGATCATGAAGAATGGTGTCTAGGGGCCTGGTGATGGTCGCAATCCATATTGTGAACAGGTTTGTAATCGTGCTGATTTTGTTTGTTGTGCATTTATAATTTCAAATTCTTGATTGGTTATTTGGTGATACCGGCCATTAGAATAAATATCAAATGAAATGTTTGTTAATTCATTTTTGGAAGCTTTACAACTACGACATCCAAGATTAGCATTATGACGTAATACACCCGCAATGTCATTCCCCTGAGGCAAATCTGCTGTAACCATAGCTAATCCACCTGAAATCCAACAATCTACACCATTTACATTCATTACAAACCCTTGCTCAAGTTGATGAACCTCTTTAATAAAAATTTTTATAAAATCTTTAAGATTTCCACCAAATGGCACCAATCCAATTATAAAATGATTACGTAATTGTTTCCTTAATTGCCGGGGCATATTACCAATCTGCAAGTAAACGCCACCTAAAGAATGATAAGTATTGCGGAATGTGCCAAAATCGTCATAATATAAATCTAAGTAAAACTTAAAAATTGGCATATTTAAATCTGCTGGTGGTTTGACAGATATACGCTCAGATGGGTGTTGATGACGTAGCTTTATTGGTCGAAACTTCCACCGCCCATTATAATAATATAATATTTTAGTAACAAAAAAATCAACTATAGGCGGGGCAGGTTGGTCCTGGAGCCAAACGTTAAGATAGCAAATTAATGATGACGGATCAATAATAAAAAGTTCTGATTCCTCAACTAAATATCGTTCTTTTGGTGAGCATGGAATATTTTTTTTTGAATGTAGATATTGTGGAATTTGATCGTATGAAAATAAACGCTGTATCCGGGTCATCACTTTTTTATCCACAATAACAAAAGATCTAATTCGGCCGACTTCAACAGTTTTAGTAACTGAATAGTATTTAACGAAATCTCCGCAATTGAATGAGCCTAAATAAAAATTATTTTAAAAAAATTTGACTATTATAACATGAAATAATATATATATATATACCTTGCATCGTAATTAAATTAGATTGGCCAAAAAGAGGGGATTCGGCCCAGAGATCTCCTTCCCATAATTCTTCACAAGATTTTGACAAAATGCCCGGCCCAAAATATAAATGAGAACTAATAGACGGGTTTTTTAACATACGTTGAATATGTTCAATTAGAGAAAAATAATAAACCCGATTAGAATCTTTAGATGTTGATGGTGTGTTTTTAGTGTTTATTGGAATCATATGGCTGTAAATTTTCATTAATGG